CTGCTGCTTTCTCTGTTCCCTGCCAGGGGCTTTACATGTAGCACTTGGTCTTGTTCCCCTTACCTCCTTGTGATGCTAGGGTCACTGTCCCCATTTTACAGATGAGGAAACAGGCTCAGCAGTGGCAGGTTGCTTGCTTCAGGACGCAGCCCTGGCTGAGGGATTGAAAAAGCCGGGGCAGGGCCAGAGGTTGACGGCGGGTATTGCACCTGCTTCTACAAGGGAGTGCAGCTCTGGAACCTGTACCAGCCAGTGCTTCAGAAGCCTCCCCTGACTGCATCCACACCAGACCTTGAGCCCCCAGGTCCTGGTTCCCAGCAAATTTTTTCAGCAGCCAGAGAGCCTGGCACAGGGCCTGGCAGTTCGCCTCCAAGGTTCATTCCTGCCACGTGGAAAACAGAGTCCTCACAATTGGCCTCTTGTGTCCTCATTGAGGCATGAATGAAGCCTTAATGAGGGTGGGGGCAGAGTGCCCCCTAACCATGGCAGGTAGGACCTGGCTGGCAGGTGGGCTCCAAGGGGCTCCCCCCAGGAGGCTCCTCCCACCCCCAGGCATGACACCCAGGCCCTCCAGAGCCCCCAGCAAAGACTCTTTATTTGCTTGTAGCAATGTCAGCTGCCAGACCACAGAGCCCATCCCTGCCCTCCATCTGTCCAGCTCAGCCACCCTCTCACCACCCCCTGGCAGATAAGAGCAATGAGATATGCAGAACAGGCCCAGGGCTGAGGCCGTGCCGCCCCACCCCCATCCTTCCTGAAATTCCAACAGCACAGAAGGCGTGGGCCTTGGTGTCTCCATCTGTAGACAGTGTATAATGATGTCCAGCCTGTTTGCCTTCCAGGGATTTCTAAGAATCATGTGGGGAAGGTATTTTAAAAGTTCAGAATACAAACAAAATGACAAAGAGCAAACTCAGCTGGTCACCCACACATTCCCTGCCCAGACTTCCCGTCCCCAGGGTACTGGACCCCAGCCACCTGGGCTGGGAGCCTTTCTTCTCTGGGCTGTGCTGGGGAAGCTGTGGGAGCCCCGAGAATGAGGACGGCCCGCAGTGGGTAGGCCTGCTTTGCCCCCCACCCAGGGATGCCTCTTGCTCCCCAGGATGGCGTGAGGACAGTCTCCGGATGGGAATGTCAGCATTTCCTGGTCTGTGCAAGGCACCAAACTAGGGTCAGGGACTGCAGTGTAGCTCATACCCAAGGATGGCAGAAATTGGGCGGGGGTGGGGGCGGAGGAGCTTGAGGACAGGGAGCAGGCGTAACTACCCCTTTCACATGGAGTGGCACAAAGTTTAGTCCCCACCCCAGGACAAGCATGTCATGTTTCCTTACTTCTCCAAAGCCCATCACTCCATTTTAAGCTCGGGGTCTCATGACCTACTTTAGAGGAAGGTCACAGGATTCTTCAGGGCCTGCTTCAGGGGAGGACAGCAGTCAGAGAGACCTTCCTGCGTCGGCTGCCACCTCAGATGCCAGGGTGCCATATTCTGGGGTGGTGTGTCCTGAGCCCTCAAACCCAATTCCTCCCTCAGACCCAGGGAAGCTCTGCTCCAGCGGCTTCTGCTGCGGCCCCACCACACTGAGTGTCACTCGCCTCCAAGCTACTCCCCTCCCATCGGGAAGATTCCACTCAGTACCTTTCTGAGAGAGTCCTGGTGAGGTTTCCTTCTGGGTGCCTGGCAGGCTGTCCTTACAACCCCAAAACCCCCAAGGCAAAGGAACACTCAGGCTGCATCAGCTACAGAAGGAGCAGTAAAAACGTCAGAAGCAGGAAGAAAACACAAATAAATGTCAATAAACCATCCTGTCACAAGGCAGTTTTGTCAATTCCAAATTTTGCCACGATGGAGAAACAGCTGCTTGCACCGAGGCGGGCCACCCTTGGCTTCCTCCTCTGAAAAACCAGAGAGACAAAGGTCAGAGGCTGTCCCAGGAGAGGGCCACAAGCCAGGACCCACACAAACTGCGGAGCCTGCAGAGGCCAGTCCCCACTCTTCTCAACTTGGAGGTAAAGACAAACAGGAGGGGCCTGCCCGGCCCCTGAGGGAAGTTCTGCAGACGCTCCCCACTGGGGCTCTGGGAGGCAGAGTTGCCTCCAGGGGCCTGTGCCTACTTCTCCTGGGGATGGTGGGTGAGCTGGGTGGGGCAGCCAGCCCTGACCTCTGGGCATCCTTTGCTCTTGCAGGACCTGGGCATGGAGTCGACCTCACTAGATGATGTTCTGTATCGCTACGCCAGCTTCCGGAACCTGGTGGACCCCATCACACACGACCTCATCATCAGCCTGGCACGCTACATCCACTGTCCCAAGCCGGTAGGGTGGCTGTGGTCCGAGCCAGCCAGGTCCCGGGGTGTGCGGTGGGTGCCTTTCAGGGCAGAGCAGCTTTATGCCCAAGGAGGACAAGCCCATCCTGCAGGTGCCAAGAGCCTGAGGTGCTCTCCCTTGGCGCCACCAGCACAGATTGGTTTTGTTTGGCCCAGGGGGTGAATTCACTGCCAACATCTAAAAAGCAGAATTTTTCACATGATCCCTATATTCGGCTGCCCTTGAAAAACTGGAAGCTCCAGCAACATGAAGCCCTCATTTCTGCAGGGCTGGAGCTAAGTAGCCATCCCTATTATACGGGGCCAAGGCCACCACATACAGTTGTACAGGTTGTGCCTTGCACAAAAGCATGCATAAAGAGGGGTGGCGGGGTAGGGGAGGAAGGCGAAAGTTCAAATCCAGCCCTCTCTCTACCCACCAAGCCGTGAGCCCTGGTGCAAGCCTGGGTCCCCCTGGAGGTGAACTTTTTCTTATTTGCACAAAGGTGTTATAGAAAGCTGGCCGGGGCCCTGCATGGGGCTGTCCACTTTGCCTCAGTCCCACCACTCCCAGATGTCTTCACCTCTGAGGCTGAGTGTCCTTTGACACCCATCCCTTCACTCATGTCCTCTTCCTGCTGGCCCTGGGAGCTCGGAAGGGAAAGCTCCATGGCTCTCCAGGCTCCACATCTGCCGCTCAGCCCCTCCTGGATGGGAGGTTCTGTCCTGTTCCTGCAGTTCCAGGTCTAGGCTTCCCCGGGGCTATGCAGCTGGACCCAGTGGGAAGGGGAGGGCTGGGCGGGGACATTCCCACACTTGAGCGCTTCTCTGTTGCTTTGGTTTTTTCTGTCTCATCCCTCAATTTCCAGTGGCTTCCAAAAGAAGTGCTTCCCCGCTGGCAGTCAGGAAACCAGAGCAGGATGAAGGGGTGCGGGAGGGAAGTTTTTCCTTTTGGTGTAGGATCTAGGCCAGGAGTGAGATGGTTCCCAAGCCCACCCCTCGCTCGGCCTGGACACAGACTTGACCGTGGTCCTACAGTGAGCTGGAGCCTTGCTCTGGAAAGGCATTTCCTGGGGCTGAGCTCCATCTGCGGCTTTGTCGGGGGCCTTCTCTCTGACTGGGGCTACCTGATACGAAGGCTCTGAGGTGGGGGCCCAGCTGTGGAGGGCTGGGAGCTGGCCAGGGTCAGGAGCACAATGTTGCAGAAGGTCGGGATGCAGGGCCCAATGGGAGGGGAAGGAAAGCTGGTGTTGAGGAAGCCTTGAGGCCTGATTGGTGCTAGGAGCCACGGGGCGCTGGCTGGGGCTGGCGCCTCTGTCGCTTCTCATGCAGTTCCACCTGGTTCTGCCTTGGGGGGAGGGGGAAGGGACGGGAGTCAGGCCTGTGAGGAGGCCTTGCCGGGTGCCAGACCCTGCCTTTCCTAGAGCAGGAATGGAGTCTGTCTCTTATACACATCTGGGCTGAGGCCGCGCCGCCCCACCCCCATCCTTCCTGAAATTCCAACAGCACAGAAGGCGTGGGCCTTGGTGTCTCCATCTGTAGACAGTGTATAATGATGTCCAGCCTGTTTGCCTTCCAGGGATTTCTAAGAATCATGTGGGGAAGGTATTTTAAAAGTTCAGAATACAAACAAAATGACAAAGAGCAAACTCAGCTGGTCACCCACACATTCCCTGCCCAGACTTCCCGTCCCCAGGGTACTGGACCCCAGCCACCTGGGCTGGGAGCCTTTCTTCTCTGGGCTGTGCTGGGGAAGCTGTGGGAGCCCCGAGAATGAGGACGGCCCGCAGTGGGTAGGCCTGCTTTGCCCCCCACCCAGGGATGCCTCTTGCTCCCCAGGATGGCGTGAGGACAGTCTCCGGATGGGAATGTCAGCATTTCCTGGTCTGTGCAAGGCACCAAACTAGGGTCAGGGACTGCAGTGTAGCTCATACCCAAGGATGGCAGAAATTGGGCGGGGGTGGGGGCGGAGGAGCTTGAGGACAGGGAGCAGGCGTAACTACCCCTTTCACATGGAGTGGCACAAAGTTTAGTCCCCACCCCAGGACAAGCATGTCATGTTTCCTTACTTCTCCAAAGCCCATCACTCCATTTTAAGCTCGGGGTCTCATGACCTACTTTAGAGGAAGGTCACAGGATTCTTCAGGGCCTGCTTCAGGGGAGGACAGCAGTCAGAGAGACCTTCCTGCGTCGGCTGCCACCTCAGATGCCAGGGTGCCATATTCTGGGGTGGTGTGTCCTGAGCCCTCAAACCCAATTCCTCCCTCAGACCCAGGGAAGCTCTGCTCCAGCGGCTTCTGCTGCGGCCCCACCACACTGAGTGTCACTCGCCTCCAAGCTACTCCCCTCCCATCGGGAAGATTCCACTCAGTACCTTTCTGAGAGAGTCCTGGTGAGGTTTCCTTCTGGGTGCCTGGCAGGCTGTCCTTACAACCCCAAAACCCCCAAGGCAAAGGAACACTCAGGCTGCATCAGCTACAGAAGGAGCAGTAAAAACGTCAGAAGCAGGAAGAAAACACAAATAAATGTCAATAAACCATCCTGTCACAAGGCAGTTTTGTCAATTCCAAATTTTGCCACGATGGAGAAACAGCTGCTTGCACCGAGGCGGGCCACCCTTGGCTTCCTCCTCTGAAAAACCAGAGAGACAAAGGTCAGAGGCTGTCCCAGGAGAGGGCCACAAGCCAGGACCCACACAAACTGCGGAGCCTGCAGAGGCCAGTCCCCACTCTTCTCAACTTGGAGGTAAAGACAAACAGGAGGGGCCTGCCCGGCCCCTGAGGGAAGTTCTGCAGACGCTCCCCACTGGGGCTCTGGGAGGCAGAGTTGCCTCCAGGGGCCTGTGCCTACTTCTCCTGGGGATGGTGGGTGAGCTGGGTGGGGCAGCCAGCCCTGACCTCTGGGCATCCTTTGCTCTTGCAGGACCTGGGCATGGAGTCGACCTCACTAGATGATGTTCTGTATCGCTACGCCAGCTTCCGGAACCTGGTGGACCCCATCACACACGACCTCATCATCAGCCTGGCACGCTACATCCACTGTCCCAAGCCGGTAGGGTGGCTGTGGTCCGAGCCAGCCAGGTCCCGGGGTGTGCGGTGGGTGCCTTTCAGGGCAGAGCAGCTTTATGCCCAAGGAGGACAAGCCCATCCTGCAGGTGCCAAGAGCCTGAGGTGCTCTCCCTTGGCGCCACCAGCACAGATTGGTTTTGTTTGGCCCAGGGGGTGAATTCACTGCCAACATCTAAAAAGCAGAATTTTTCACATGATCCCTATATTCGGCTGCCCTTGAAAAACTGGAAGCTCCAGCAACATGAAGCCCTCATTTCTGCAGGGCTGGAGCTAAGTAGCCATCCCTATTATACGGGGCCAAGGCCACCACATACAGTTGTACAGGTTGTGCCTTGCACAAAAGCATGCATAAAGAGGGGTGGCGGGGTAGGGGAGGAAGGCGAAAGTTCAAATCCAGCCCTCTCTCTACCCACCAAGCCGTGAGCCCTGGTGCAAGCCTGGGTCCCCCTGGAGGTGAACTTTTTCTTATTTGCACAAAGGTGTTATAGAAAGCTGGCCGGGGCCCTGCATGGGGCTGTCCACTTTGCCTCAGTCCCACCACTCCCAGATGTCTTCACCTCTGAGGCTGAGTGTCCTTTGACACCCATCCCTTCACTCATGTCCTCTTCCTGCTGGCCCTGGGAGCTCGGAAGGGAAAGCTCCATGGCTCTCCAGGCTCCACATCTGCCGCTCAGCCCCTCCTGGATGGGAGGTTCTGTCCTGTTCCTGCAGTTCCAGGTCTAGGCTTCCCCGGGGCTATGCAGCTGGACCCAGTGGGAAGGGGAGGGCTGGGCGGGGACATTCCCACACTTGAGCGCTTCTCTGTTGCTTTGGTTTTTTCTGTCTCATCCCTCAATTTCCAGTGGCTTCCAAAAGAAGTGCTTCCCCGCTGGCAGTCAGGAAACCAGAGCAGGATGAAGGGGTGCGGGAGGGAAGATTTCCTTTTGGTGTAGGATCTAGGCCAGGAGTGAGATGGTTCCCAAGCCCACCCCTTGCTCAGCCTGGACACAGACTTGACCGTGGTCCTACAGTGAGCTGGAGCCTTGCTCTGGAAAGGCGTTTCCTGGGGCTGAGCTCCATCTGCGGCTTTGTCGGGGGCCTTCTCTCTGACTCTGGGGCTACCTGATACGAAGGCTCTGAGGTGGGGGCCCAGCTGTGGAGGGCTGGGAGCTGGCCAGGGTCAGGAGCACAATGTTGCAGAAGGTCGGGATGCAGGGCCCAATGGGAGGGGAAGGAAAGCTGGTGTTGAGGAAGCCTTGAGGCCTGATTGGTGCCAGGAGCCACGGGGCGCTGGCTGGGGCTGGCGCCTCTGTCGCTTCTCATGCAGTTCCACCTGGTTCTGCCTTGAGGGAAGGGGAAAGGGACGGGAGTCAGGCCTGTGAGGAGGCCTTGCCGGGTGCCAGACCCTGCCTTTCCTAGAGCAGGAATGGAGTTGCTCAGAGATGAGACAGCGAAAGGCAATGGGACTCTCAAAAAAGCAAAAAGGAAACAGGAGGGCTATGTGTACGCCCATCTTTGAGTTGAGGAAAACAAACTTCAGTCAAATGATCTGAGCAAGGTTACACCTCGAGGAGAACCATGGGTGTGATTTGGGCCTATGCAGTGACTCAGAGCTGGGCAGGACACAGGCCGGGGGTCCCTGGGCGGTCAGTGCCCAAGGGGCAGGAGGAGGGGCCTGGTGGAAGCAGCCGAGCTCCCCTCCCTCCCCAACCTGCCCCTCACAGGTTGCCTCACGGACAGCCTGTGTGGGGAGAAGGACCCACCCTCTCAGAGAGAGAGGCAGGCCAGGGAGTGGGTAATGGCCATCGGGAGACCCTGTGAGACAGGGCCAGGCGAGGCCAGGAGGAGGGGCGGGAACTCCTGCCTTCTGATCTCCCCTTTCTGTCTGGGTAGGGCGGGGCCGGGGGGTGCCTACCTGGGTGTTGTGGTCCATTCAGGTAGCTGTAACAAATTATTGTAGACCGGGTGGCTTACAAAAGTAGAAATTTATCTCTCACACTTCTGAAGGCTGGAAGTCTGAGATCTGGGTGCCAGCCTGGTTGGTGACTGGTAAGGACCTTTTTCTGGGTTACAGACAGTCACCTTCTTGTGTCCTCACATGGCAGGAAATGGGCAAAGGAGCACGAATCCCTTTGTGAAAGCTCCACCCCCGTGGCCTAATCACCTCCCAAAGGCCCCACCTCTGAATACCATCACCCTGGGAATTAGGTTTCAACATGTGAATTTTGGGGACATACCAACATTCAGTCCATTGCATGGTGTAACCTTCCTCAAACCACTTCATTACCTGGCCTTTGTTTTCCTCAAAACAAGTCAAACCCTGCCGGAGTGGGTGAGCCCTGCTGAAGCCCAGAGACCTGGGGGGCCCCTTCTGTGCCCATGTGGCAAGCGAGGCTCTCTGGATGAGGCAGGGGTGGGAGGTCCCCAGGCTGGTGGTAGGAGCAGCCCCTCCATCCACCCCAGAGGGCTGACCAGGATGTCCTGGTCAGAGCAATTTGCATCTGAGTTCATGTCAGCCCACGTTATGGGTCTAGACATTGTGGACAGAGGTGTCAAGACCGGAGAGCTCGTTCCAAAGGTAAATTGGATACTACACGGACCCTCACTGAAAATCCTCCAGCGAGGGGCCGTGCTGTAGTTTAAATAAAACCCAAACTCCTCACCTGGCTTTGCCTGAGTCTCTGAGCTCCCCTCTCCTACTTGCCACCCTGCGAACTCTGCTCTAGCATGTGGGCCTTCCTCCTCTGCCCCTGACACCTCCACACCCTCTCCTACCTTAGGGACATCGCTACTCCCTCTAACTGCTCCAGCCTCCTCTGTCTGAGCTTCCTTCTCCTGAGTTCAGACTGAGCCTCCGGCCTCTGAGAGGCCTTCGTTGACAAGCCTGCCTCATGGAGGCTCCTGATCAGCCTGTCTCGAGCCCCATTTATTTTTCCATTCATTTCTCCATTTTACTTACTGGTCTCTGAAATTACCTTGCTTATTTACTTGTTGGCTAATTTATGGTCTGTTTTCCCCACTAGAATATAAACTCTGAAGGGAAGGGTGTCTGTCTTGTTCACAATTCCATCCTGCACCAGGCGGGAAGGAGGTAACATATTCCATTGTGAAGTTTGAAGGGAGTTTAGTGAAGGGTTGTGGACAGGATAAAGGAAGTCAACAGGGGATGTTGAGACATCCAGAGACAGCCGTGGTAGGAAGTTGTTTCGCAGGAGGACAAGCTGTATTGCCAGAGGCAGGGTGAGAACACCTGGTCCGGAGCCATGCTGCATTATCCATTGCCATATAGCAAACTACCCCAAAACAACAGACATTTATTGTTATAGTCTCTGCAGGTCCGGATTGCAGAGGCATGGTGGTGCCTGCCTCTAGTCTCAGCTACTAGGTAGTTTAGCTTTGGGTCTCTCCAGACATTGGTCAGGGCTGCAGGTGTCAGAAGACTTTGCAGAAGTTGGCAGCTCTGCCAGACTCCGTGGCTTACGCCTGTAATCCCAGCACTTTGGGAGACCGAGGGGGGCAGATCACCTGAGATTGGGAGTTGGAGACCAGCCTGACCAACATGGAGAAACTCCATGTCTACTAAAAATACAAAATGAGCCGGGAGTGGTGGCACGTGCCTGTAATCCCAGCTACTTGGGAGGCTGAGACAGGAGAATCACTGGAACCCGGCAGGCGGAGGTTGCCGTGAGCCGAGATCGCACCATTGCTCTCCAGCCTGGGCAACAAGAGCAAAACTCCATCTCAAAAAAAAAAGAAGAAGTTGGCAGGTCCACTTCCAGGGCGGTACACTCACCCTGTAGCCTCTCCATAGGACTGCTTGAGTGTCCTCACATGATGGCAGCTGGATCCCACAACAGGTGATAATATAGAAGCCATAATGCCTTTTTTTTTTTTTTTTTGAGACAGAGTCTCACTCTATCACCTAGGCTGGAGTGCAGTGGCGCGATCTCGACTCACTGCAACCTCTGCCTCCCAGATTTAAGCAGTTCTCCTGCCTCAACCTCTCAAGTAGCTTGGGATTACAGGCACCTGCCACCACACTCAGCTAATTTTTTGTATTTTTAGTAGAGACGGGGTTTCGCCATGTTGGCCAGCCTGGTCTCAAACTCCTGACCTCAGGTGATCCACCTCGGCCTTCCAAAGTGCTGGGATTACAGGTGAGAGCCACTATGCCTGGCCTTGTTTTTTTGTTTTGTTTTGTTTGTTTGTTTGTTTGTTTTGAGAAAGGGTCTCACTCTGATGCCCAGGCTGGAGTGCAGTGGTGTGATCATAACTTACTGCAGCCTGGAACTACCAGGCTCAAGTGATCCTCCCACCTCACCCTCCTGAGTAGCTGAGATTGGAAGCAGGCACCACCATGCCTAGCTAATTTTGGGGGTTTTTTTCTTATAGACATGGGGGCCTCACTATGTTGCCAAGGCTGGTCTCAAACTCCTGGCCTCAGGCAATCCCCCTGCCTTGGCCTCCCAAAGCACTAGGATTGCAGGTGTGAGCCCAACTCCCACAATACCTTTTAAGACCCAGTCTCAGAAGTCACAAACCATCATTGCTGCCATTCTATTGATTCTGATGATTCTGTTGCTCACCCAGACCAGCCCTGCTACAATGTGGAAGGACACTACACAGGGGCACAGATGCCAGGAGCCAAGAGCAGCAAGGCTGTCTTGGAGGCTGGCTGCTGCACATGCCGAAGTGTGGGAATCAGAATAAACCCCCCATCTGTCTCTCCTCCTGCCCTCTGGTCTTGCTGCCACTGCTCCCATTAGCTGAACCTAAGAGGAAGCCAGGGGGAAGACAGCCCCGTGACGCGGTCTCTAGAGCCCAGCCTTCTGAGCAGAGAAGGGCAGAGTGGACTGTGGGGCGAGAGGAAACAGAAAAGCCGGCACACAGTCTCTGCATCTGGAATGGTGTCCAGCATAATGAGCGGGACAGTCAACATTTGATGAATGTATGAATGAATTTATGAATGAGGGAGGGATACCCTTGAATGGAGGGCAGTGGAGG